AAGTGTTTCATTTAATGATTTGTCTCAAAAATTTTAGGTGTAGTGGCATATGGTATAACATTATAATGTTATACCATTTAATTTTTTTAAACAGTTATTTTAACAACAATTTTTATCAAAAAATTATAAATTAAAAAACGTAAAATAAGGAATTCTTAGGATAAAAAACGATTTTAAAAATTCTTCATATTGAAATAAAAAAACTTCCATATTGTTTCCCTTTTTATTCTTATAGTTCTTAATCAGACGTAAAAAAGCATTTTGTTGAGAACTATCATCAAATGAGAAAAAAAAATTTTTTACAAGCTAATTTTTTATTATAAAAATCATAACACTTACCTGATTTATAAATCCGCAGAATTCCAAAAGGATATGTTCTTCGTTTTTATTAATCATCAGTACAAATGACACTATTTCAAATAATTTAGATGATTTTTTTTATTGCTTTTTTTTCCGAATTATATAGATACAGAAATATATACTGTTGCATAAGTTTTTTAATTTATTGATGGAATGACGAAAGCACTGTTGACTTCGCTTTAATTTGTAATGAATTGAAGACACAAAAATTTATTTTACTGTAATACACACATCTGTAACAGCAAGTGATCATGAAAGTATAAGTTATGTTGTTGGTAATAGAAAGGTAAAAATTATTGAGAAAATGTTCTTCAAATGCTTGGTGTGTTCTGCTTTAATGCATGTTCTAGTTAGTTTTTTCAAGTTCTTCTACCTTTTCCTTAGGGAAATTTTGCTTCTTATTTGCTGCTAATAAAATGGCGTCCGTCATTGCCAATTTATGATGGAACTAATGCCTGATATTTTCAGGCTCCCGCTAGTGGGAGTACTCAAGCGCTGCGATCGTGAATACCTGCTCATTCACGCTCTGTTTATTCATAAATATTTTCTCTATGTGTTCTGGATGGTCCTGCTCTAAAAGAAGAAATACTATTTTGTTATACCATGGAAAAATACCATGGAAAGAATATTAAAAATTTTTTTTTTTTAAATTTATTAAGCCTTAGGCTTATAAGCCTTCGTCTAAAATGAGTATGTTTAAAAAGATCTGAGTTCAACAAAAACAAAGCGTCGAAAGCGTTAGTAATAATTAGCTTTTTAAAAACGTGTATTTGTTTACTTTCTGTTTGCTATTTTTTTAAAAATTGAAAATTGTGTATAACGCGTTAATTTAATTGCAATCCAAATGTTACCTGAAACAATAGATAATAGGATTTCTAAACTAATAAAAAAATGCCTATCTCTCCGACATCGGTCAATGTTTTTTATTTTAGGGGAGAATTTTCAGAATCAGGTGAAATACTTACTTTTCTTCTGTAATATCTGAATTGTTGTATTAACCCCTAAATTAATATAAATTACGAAATATTTTGATCTTCTATATGCCATTGTTGTAGTGTTCGTACTTGTCATTATTTTCATAGTATTGTCATAGTAGCTGACACAAAAGTTTTGCCTTGATTTTCAGTTTTAAGCGCAGAACATCCCATGTTTTATGAATTTAAATCGGGATTTTAAATAGTTAATTAAAGAATTGTAAGATTTAAGTTATTGACCCAACATTTTTTTAATTTTAAATAATAATGCTTGTAAAAATCACTATGAACTTTCTATGAATTATATACATTCTCCAAGGCTTGTTGTGTTTTCCTTATGATTTATTGTTTCTCATATTTTAAGAATTTAGTCATTTCATGAAAAAAGAATTCACAATTTTACGTTATCAAATTTTTATGATTGTAAATTCTAGGTTCATACTCGTATATAATATTTGCAGTTAATAAATTATGTTGTATGGTAGAGTTTCATAATTATTGACTTTAAAAAACCGATTTTACTTGACTTTATTTTTGTGAGTGTCTATATTTCAGGCAGGGTGAATCATTGTTTTCCCAATCACTTAATTTTTCAAGCCCTTCCCCCCTGATTGGCATGCCACTGGGTCTGACACAAGATAGTAGAGGAAACAACTAAGTAAGACAGAAGTGCAATATACAGAAAAGCTTAACAATCAACTACATGCAGTTGTGACCTTTCCTCTTCTCTGCGAAACGTGTTTGTTCTTTTGAGAAAGGGAAGTAGTAATTCTCTCGGTAAAAGTCTAAGCCTTTTTTATCCTTCTCTTTTTGTTAAAGTAGATATGCAACTGCAAAAGAGAAAATTTTCAGCAATTTTATTAAAAAATTCATTTTGTTTATTAAATATGTAGTTATTGTAACTCACATTCTGTTAGTATTCTGATGTTAATCCTAATGACAGGAAAAGATTTTAAAAATAATTAACTAGACTTAAAAAGAATTATTTAAATATTGGAAAGTATGATACGTTTATTAAATTGAGGGAAAACAATTAAAGTAAAAAAACTTGTTTTTGTGACATAAAAAATCTTGAAGCTAGAAGTCTTGGCTTATAACCACTTTATTATTTATAATATTTTCCAAGGGTAAAAATAAGAAATACTCTTTTGAATTTTTGTGTGAAAAGATATGATGTCTAATGTTATAAGAAAAAAACTTGTCTGGGACGGAAAAAAAAAAATTGAGGTCTGATAATTTTGATTTGTGTTAAAAAATACTTGAATTTGGGTAAAAACCACTTTTTATTTTTATAAAAAGCAAAAAAAAAACCACCCCATATTAATTTTTTTAATTAAAATATATGACATTTAACATTTTGAGAAAAAAAAAGTAAGTTCAGATAGATTTTTTATTCTGCGTTAAAAAAATCTTGCGAAGTATTTTGGCTACAGATCATTTTTTATTTTCTTATTGATCAAAGGAAAAGAAGATATATTTTTATGATTTTTTTATTTGGAAAAGTATCATATTTAGAATTACGAGAAAAATATTGAGCTCAAGAACCTTTGTTTTTGTGCTATAATCTTAGTAAAGCTGCTATTTCTGAATTGAAATCTTGGAAGTTAAAAAAATCTTAAACTAGAAGTAATTTGGCCACAGATCATTTATTATTTCCTTACTGTTAAAAAAAGTTACACTTATGTGATTTTTTTATGTGGAAAAGTGTCCTATTTAAAATTATGAGAAAAATAAAGAGGTCAAGAACCTTTGTTTTTGTGTTATAATCTTAGTAAAACTGCTCTTTCTGATTAAGTGTTTAACCTGGACATTGTTATTGCTGAAGGGGATCAAAGTGTAGTTCTATACAAATTTATCAAGAGGAATCTCAAAAATGAATTATCCCATACAAATTATTGCTTGTAATGTTAATGAGTAATGTCATCAAAAATACTGTAATTATTAATAATGATCTTGAATATTCTCTTGTGCCTACTAATTTATACAGTGCTAATTTTATACTTTATCTAAAGTGCAGGTACTTCTTTTAATCTCATTGATTCTGATATTGTCGTCAGTTCTTATAAATTGGCATCTTATTAAAAATTTTTGTATCCGGTTTCTAGTATGAATTCCGTCAAAAACTCGTATGATTTTGTTAAAGAATTTTTTACATTTAATATTTATTCACTAACTTTCTTCTCCCTTAATTGTCTTAAAAAAGAATACTAGGATTTTACTTCAGCCAAGTTGAAATTGATGAACTAGTACACCTTACTCGCATTTGCTTAGAGTAGTCTCACTTTTAATGGTAACTTTTATTGAATAATTGATGGCTTAGCTATGGGTAATCCTCAGTCCCTTTTTAAGTGACCTGTTTTTGGACTATTTTGAAGTGAAACTCTTTGAAGTTCCTTTTTATAGATTGATAATCTGATTATATTAATTCAATATTATGTATTCTATAAATCCTTGAATTTCTTCACGATAAAACAAAAGAATATTAAATGTTTACCTTTCTAAGGTGTTCTTATTATTCAAAATTGCTTTTAAATGTTCACCATTGATCATAAACCATTTCCGGTTTCACACCCTCCTCATAATCTTTCATTCCAGCCTACTAACCAAAAGATAGCTGCCTTATGAACACTTCAAGCTAAATATCTCAAGACCCTGTCACTGACATTAATGACTAATCAAATTTTCATCTTAGAATAATCCATTGTATATTGGAAACTGAATCTACCCTTGAAAGAAATGTTCAAAATCAGGATATTAAATGATCTTCCATCACCCTTATATAGTTGGAATTAATCATAGGTTTGAGTTTTCTTCTGCTAAAATCTACTAAACTTGATTTTTGGGACTCTCCTCATATTTTGGAAAATTCTAATAATTTAGTTAATGATCTTTCTAGTATCCCACTTTTTCCTAACCTTTAGAAATCTAGCCTAATTTAATCTTTTGGGGTTCCCACCAAGCCTCCTCCCGGCTATTTCTTCCAATATTCTTTTAATTATCTTGTTTAAATTTGTTCCTCTTTCCTGATTGGTTTAAACCACTTTGCATGTATTTCTATTGTTGTTGACGAATGTCTGTTTAGGCAGAGGGGGTGCGATTCTTTTTGTTTTCCAGTGGCACCACCTATGGCAAAGAATTCTACTTCTGCCACACCATACGTCGTTTATAGGGCGGACCCATTCATACATTCATTCATTCATCCACAGATTGTAATTTTGACCTGAGTCAGAGAGCGTTCAATCTCCAATCCAGTACCCCCAGAGGTATTGATTTGTTATGGGAACATGGAGGACTTTTCCGACTCAACAGATTTAACATGCATCAGTCACTTTACTACACGAGGAGTCTTCGGCCGGCAGGGTTCGAACTCTTGGACATGGGCCCAACACCTTACCGACCAGGCTATCCTGGCCTGTATGTATTTCTATTTAATTTTATAATGTCATTTGGAGTTCAAACACTACAGAAGGTTTTTTGTTTAGGAAACCGAAACTATAGTACTTTTTCTGTACTTTATTTGTGTTTTATTCACATTGCTGTTAACTTGAATTACATAATGTAGACTTTTTCTTTCTTTATAATAACAGCAAAATTAGGAAACTTGGCTCATAAATAAAAATATATATAATTTAACATATAAGCCACCAACTATAGTTTCATAATTTTCTTAAATTAAGTTTTAAAATTGCCCACAAAATGTAGTTTTGATATAAAAATTCTAAAAAAAAATTTTTTTTGCTGTTTTTTATGAAGAACATTTCCACAAAAAATTTCATGAAAATCTGTGACACAATGACAAGACTTTTTTTCTTCTTTTGGTTGATTTCTCTTGGATTGAGCCAATATAATCTTTTTTTGCATTGAAATACTTTTTTTCCATCAAATTATTTATTTTAAAAGTATTTCTTTTTGAAAGAGCAGAGTGACAGAATAATCTGAATTTTAATTCCAAATTTCAGTTTTATAACTTGTTAGTGATTAATTAAATTGCATGTTTAAATCAGGGAGCTGTAGTGCAGAAAAGCTGTGTTCTCTTAAGTGCCAGAACTACAGCTTTTCCCATACTTGCTCCAGAGCTTCTTCAATTTCATTGTATCTTACAGACATTCTTCTGCATTGCATCAGCATTGCTCATTTGCCAAATTGTTGCAGAAAGAGTATTATTGGCATTAAAATACATTCGTAATGATTTACATCAAGGAGGATTTATTAGATTAAATTTTTTTCTATCTCAAGAATGAGCAAATGACTCAACTGTGAATTAAAATAAATTCAGTCAAATGTATGTGCAAATGTTCTCATCCTCATGGCCCAATAGTTGCGACATCGTCGCAGCACGTTACCGAGTTCTTGTGGAAAGATTTTTCAAAGTAAACAATTTTGCTTTTCTGCTGAAATTTTCTTAAGATTTTATCATTTCTTCCGTATTGTATTCAAAAGATGCCTTTCTCGTTCATCGGGGAGGGAAATTTTTTTTTATTTTATTCTCATTCTTGAATAATAAAAAATAAATAATAAAGTAAAAAAAAAAATTTTCGGTCGAAATTTTCATTTTACTTTTTTATGCAGTTATTACTACTGATATTCACATAGCTTTTAAAATACGATATTTTTAATACATTATTATTTATTACAACAACTGAATCTCGAAATGAAAACGCACATTTAGTAACCTCTTCTTGAAGAGTCCGATTAGCGAGATTTTGTCTTCAATCTTTCTTTTCAGTAGTACCATTTTTTATTTATTTTTTAATTTGATGATAAATTACAAAATACGAAAAGGGAAATAATTAGTGTGTTATCTTCCAACTAAATGCGAGAATATCACTCATAATATTAGAAAAAAAAAATATTACATATTCAATTAAATAAATTACTTTATTTGATCTGAATTTTTTAAATTTATTTATTTATTCTTTGTTGAAGTTAACGCTCCTGTTACTTTAAATTAGTAATATGTATATTTGTTACTTTTAAGTATCTTGCAGAAAGATATTAGTATTAGAGAGGTATGTCGCAGAAAGCCTGCCATATGGGTACTCAATATAATATATAGTAAAATTGTTGGATCTGTTACGTCACTCTCATAAGATGACGTCATTCATTTAAAGTGTAAATATTAATAACTTGATATTAACCTGTGTATATATGAAAAGTGTGAGTGGCAACAGAAAGAATGTTGTGCTAGGCAATAAAAAAAGTTTGCTTTTGTAAATATGTGTGCGCGGGTATTTCTTGTAAATTTAAGTTATTTCAACACTGGGTAGATCAAGTAGATTTATCGGAAACACGAAACATTGTGGTGACCCGGATTTTAAAGGTTAGTTTTCATTTGCAATATTAATTGGCGACTGCAATTATGGATTCTCTTATCGCCAAACGAATTCCTGTTCGTGGAACATTTACAAAACGTTATAATCAGTTATTGGCGATGTGTAAGGAAAATAAAAGTACTCGTGAAGATATTGAAATTAAATTTTCATCTTTTGAACGTATTGCAAACGATTTGGCATTATTAGGTGAAGAAATATATAAATTATTAGTTGACGCCAAATCAGAAAACTTATGTGAAGAATACGATAAAATTGGAGAGTACAAGGAAAAAACTGATGCAATTCGTATTGAAGTGAAAATATATTTGGAAAAATTTCTCACATTTCCCGAAACCGCTTTGTCTGTGGCGGCTGAAAAGACAAAATTAAAGCTTCCCAAAATAGAATTAGTTAAATTTAGTGGGGAAGTCAAGGATTGGGTAAGTTTTTGGAGCCAATTTAGTCGAATCCATGATGATGAATGTATGAGTGATGAGGACAAATTCCAATATCTCATTCAATGCATGATTGTCGAAAGTAGAGCAAGGGAAATTGGGGACCGTTATCTGCCGTCTGCTGATAATTATGCCAAAGTGGTAGAAAGTTTAAAAACAAGATGTGGGCGGGAAGAACTCCTTGTCGATTATTACATAAGAGAATTATTAAATTTAGTGGTGAAAAATTTAATGAACACAAAAGCAAAGATGAACATAATGCAACTTTACGATAAATTGGTGTCATATCTGCGCTCACTGGAGTCTATTGGCGTAACAAAAGAGAAATACGCAGCAATGTTGCTTCCGCTTGTGGAATCATGTATTCCAGAGGATTTATTAAGAGTGTGGCTGAGAAATCCTGTAATTACTAAGGAAAATGATTCAAGTGATTCCTATGGCAATAAATTATCGCAGTTATTAACATTTTTGAGAGCCGAAGTCGAAGGCGAAGAACGTATTTCTATGGCGAAAACTGGTTTTAAAAATAATGACTCTTCGCATCGTAAAAGAGACAAAGATTTCGAAATATCAACTCCTGATTTTACTGCAAATGATTTGCTCTCTGAGAATAGGTCAATAGCACCACATTTTAAACGCAACTGCATTTTGCGCGGGAAACAACATAATTCAGAAAATTGTTTTAAAGGAAAGAATTTATCATTAGATGAGAAACAGGAAATAATAAAGAAACAGAAGGCCTGTTTTTTATGTCTGAAGGTGGGGCATCACTCGAAACACGGCAGGGCTAATATTCGATGTATTGTTTGTAACAAAAGACATTGGCCTGTAATGTGCCCAGACTTGAGCCAAATAAATCAGACATCTGCTGTGGACACATCAGCTGAAGAAAATACTACTTTGTCGAATCAAAGCCAACCTGAAGTCTTATTGCAAACCCTTATGATAGTTATTGAAGCCAATGGAAAACTGTTAGAGCACTATGTGATACAGGATCTCAACGGTCGTACATCCTGAAATCAACAATAAATGAAATGGGATGGAAGACCAACAAATATGAAACTTTAACACACGTAGTCTTTGGTGGAGCTAGTTCCAGAAAAGTACATAAAAAATACACATTGTGGATATGAAATATGAGGAAAAATAACAAGTTCGAAATTCAAGTTTTAGACCAACAGGTAATCTGTGTATATATTCCAAGTTTGAAAAACGGTCCTTGGTTATCTGAATTACGAAGTAAAGGAATCCATATCTCTGATGTCGAACTGCGAGGTTGGGAGTTTACAGAGAAAGAAAACTTAACTGAAAATTTGAACAGTCACCTGTGTTGGGTCTTCTGTGGGACAGATCAGAGGACATATTGTTTTGTGACACTCGAACAATTATTGATCCTCCAGAAATTATCACCAGAAGAGTAATATTATCTTTTGCTAATCGAGTGTTTGATACAATCGGATTTACTTGTCCAATTATGTTATATCCGAAGATTTTATTGCAAACAAGTTGGCAATCAAAATTAGGTTGGGATTCAAAAGTTTCTGAGGATATAAAAAAAATTTCTCCAATGGTTGGAAGATCTGAATATACTGCATACAGTGAAAATTCCCCGTCACGCTATTTTGAGAAATAGTAGCTTAAGTCTTCATGTATTTTGCGACGTTAGTGGTCTGTCATATGCAGCTGTCGTTTTCATTAGATGTCAGACAGAATATCAAACAACAGTACAATTGTTACTTGCTAAATCAAAAATAGCACCTTTAAAAGGAAAATCTATTCCTAGATTTGAACTTCTAAGCTGTTGCATTGGTACTCGTCTAGCAGATTTCGTTAAGAAAAGCTTGGAAATCGAAAATGTCAAGATTCATTATTGGTCCGATTCTACAACTGCTTTACAATGGATCCAGAAAGATGAGCCATGGAGTGTGTTTGTCAGAAATAGAGTAAAAGAAATCCGTGCTCTTTCATCAGGAAATTGGCGACACGTTCCCGGTCACTCTAATCCAGCCGATCTACCATCACGCGGCTGCTCGGTAACAAAGTTATTGAGTTCAAGGTGGTGGGAAGGTCCTTCCTGGTTGAAATTACCTGAAAACACATGGCCTCTATCTGAATATCAAATTGATGAAGAAGCTATCAACAAGGAAAAAGAAAAAAGAACAACCATACTCGTAAGTAAAAATTTGCTTGGAACAAACCAGTTTTTTTCTTATTTTTCAAGCTACACGAAAAATGTCAGAATGGTTGGATGGATTCTAAGATTCCTTGAAAATTGCAAACTGTCTGAAAAAGATAGGAAAAAGGGTGGACTAACTCTGGCTGAAGTAGAAAATGCAGAAATCAAACTTATAAAAGTTATTCAAAACGAAGCATTTACTGCAGATTATATAAAAGCTTAAAATCATTGAATGTCTTCAAAGATGAAAAAGGAATATATAGAATTAAAACAAAATTGACAGAGAGAAATGATACCGAGAATTTTAGATTACCTATTTTGCTTCCAGAAAAACTTGTATTGGTTGATATGCTAATCAAAGAGAAGCATTTGAAATGTTTACATGCTGGACTGCAAATTTTACTGTCCAATTTAAGAGAAAATTATTGGATTATTAATGGACGTCGAGCAGTTCGTCGCATCCTCAAGACCTGTGTTAGATGCAAACGATATAATGCACGAAGTATAAAAACTGTTCCCGTAGGTTTACCTGAAGACAGAGTTAAAGAAGCTTCTGTTTTTGAAGTGGTCGGGATAGATCTTGCCGGACCTCTTCATTTAAAGGAAGGTGTGAAAAGTTGGATTGTCATCTACACATGTGCCGTTTATCGATCAATACATCTCGAACTTGTGCAGTCACTTTCAACTAAGGCGTTCCTTTTGAGTTTACGAAGATTCATTGCTCGCCGAGGAAGACCTCACATCATCTATTGTGACAACGGGAGTAATTTTATAGGAGCTGAGAATCTACTTCAGTCCTTAGATTGGAAGTCAATTGAAGCTGAAACATCAGTATACAAAATTGAATGGAAATTTAATCCACCATCTGCTCCCTGGTGGGGAGGCTTTTGGGAGATTATGGTGAAATTGGTAAAAAATATTCTTCGAAAAATTTTGGGGAAAGCATGCCTTTCATACGAAGAAATGATTAGTGTTCTGTGTGACTGCGAGTCCGTTATCAATTCAAGACCTCTCACATACCTCTCAGAAGATCTGGATGACTTAATACCTCTTTCTCCGTCCATGTTTTTACAAGAGATCTCGACGGTGGGAGTACCTGATTTAGATCAGCTGGATACAATAGATCTTAAAAAACGCTATAGGTATCAACAGACGTTAAGAGAACAGTTGAGAAAAAGATTTCGCCGCGAATACCTAGCGACACTCCTTCAACCGCGCAAGAAGAATAACTATTATGATCTAAAGGTTGGCGAGATTGTGTTAATCGAAGATGACTTAAAGAAAAGATTACACTGGCCGATGGCTAAAGTTATTGCCGTCTATCCTGGTAAAGATAAAAGGATACGCGTGGCTCGACTTAAAACAGCACATACCGAGTTTTTGAGGCCAGTGCAGCGGATTTATCCGCTGGAAATACGTTCGACACCAAATGAAGGTTCAACTCCAATCGCAAGCGCAACTTCAAATGAAGGTGACAAGCATAATAATTTCTCAAGTACCTTACGAAACATCGTTACCACAAGAAGTGGCCAAACTGTTAAGATACCATCAAGATATTTGAACACATAATTTTAAATTTATATTAGATTTTTTGTTATTTTGATTATTGGAATACACATAATCAAAAGGTGGGAGTGTTACATCACTCTCATAAGATGACGTCATTCATTTAAAGTGTAAATATTAATAACTTGATATTAACCTGTGTATATATGAAAAGTGTGAGTGGCAACAGACAGAATGTTGTGCTAGATGTGTTCTACGAAAATAAAAAAATGGTTGCTTTTGTAAATATGTGTACGCAGGTATTTCTTGTAAATTTAAGTTATTTCAGCGCTGGATAGATCGGGTAGATTTATCGAAAGCACAATACGGGATCTGGGAGTTAAGCTGGAGTGTTGAAAATTTTTAAACTCTGGGCCCCCAGTTTAAATGCAAAGTAAGAGAAGATATACTGAAATATTAATTTATTTTGTAGGTTGTGTTTCTGTATCATTTACTATTGAAGAACAGAAAGTCTTCAAAAATGAGTCCACCATTGTGGTGCTTCAAAAAGAATTTAGGATTCAATTTGTAAGTTAAAAGCTTTTTTTTTTACATTGATTCTGACATTACAAATTATTGTGTTAATTAATGTGATTCAAAAAACTTTTCTTTTTTAGATTTCAGAATAAAAAATTAAAAAAATTAAAGAAAAACTGCACTGAAAATTATCCACTGAGGCAGGAAGACATGTTTGAACATTTTTTATTGTCTTCAAACATTCAAGTGTGTCATTACAGGTATTTTTATTACATTACAGGTATTTTTATTACATTATGTTCATTAACTTTTATTTTTTCATGTTTTCAAGGTTTTATTAATCTTTTTTTGCAAACCTATGTTATTATCATGTGCTCTTAAATGTATAAATAGAATTTAAAACTGGGAATTTTTTGTCCATTTTATTAGTACAAATTTCTAAAGAATTGCTCTTCACAGAAAATACTAAACCCATTTCCATAAATCAAACTTGCAGAGTGAAATGGTTAAATTCTGATACTCGGAGAAATGCTTATTTAAATCAGGTAACTTACTGATATGGGGAGCACTGAAAAAAAAATTTTTTTTTTCCTGTTACTTTTTTATTTTTTTTCCTTCATATTTTTAAGGTGTATTGGGTACCTAGTCAAAAGGTTTCAGGTGATTTTTTTTTTAATCTGCAGGCTATAGATTTAAATTATTCCTGATTTAGACTAATATTACTATAAAGGATGTGTTGTCTTAGATTTTCATATTGTTCCCAGCCTATAAGATTTGCAGCAGAAAAAAATAAAATAAGAAATATTAAATTTAATCATTTCAAATACCATCGAAAGATATTTTTAAGACTGTTGTCCCAAAATGCTAAAATATATAATTGCAATTTTTTGTTATGCACAAGTTTTGTCATTTACATTTCGTTTACAAAAAATGTTTGATAAAACCTAAACAATTTAGATTATAGTGTTTATTATTAAAATTGTCTTTCAGTGAGAGTGATAAAATATTAGGACAAACTTTTGGTTTACTAATTATGCAGGATTTTGAAGCATTGATGCCAAACACACTCGCTCGATTAATAGAATGCGTTGAAGGAGGTGGGATGATTATATTCTTGTTGCCTGATATCACATCTGTAGAAGAAATATTTTCCTTTCACATGGTATGATATTTCAATACATTATAATTGCATGTTTTATATACATTTAACTTTTTTGGTGAAAACATTTCTTTAAGAATTCATTACCGCTATTGTTAATATCAGAGTTAGGTAAAAAAAGTGAGTTGTTTTTTATGCCCTTTAATAAAAATGATTTTGAGTCTTAACTTGAAAAATTGTGAAGGCCATAAAAAAGCAGTTGAAGAAGTTTGGAAAAATGATAAGATTTTCATCCAGCAGAGGATTTGTTGAAGAAGAGTTGAGGTTATCCATTGAATGGTATTTTGTCATTGTGAAAAAGTTTCTTTTTTCAAGAAAATTATATTTTTTTTATGAAGTAAATTTATCATATGCAATATATTTTTATTGAATGAACAAAGAAAAATGTCTATTATTTCTCTCTAACTTGTGTTTTCTATGTGTTTTTACATTAGAAATTTGTCTTTCTGTTGCAGTGTCTTGGCATAAAAAATGTTTACATTTATTTAATTCTTTCTTCATTCTAAAACGTGCATTACACAAATTTCAGGATGCCCATGCTAAATTTGTGACTGAAGCATGTGACAAGGTGAAGCCATTATTCAATAAAAGATTTGTACTGTCTTTGCATTCTTGTGAAAATTGTCTAGTCACGGATGACTCATTAAACATCAAACTAATTCCTGAGCAGTTCAATGTCTCTGAGAGATCCTATTCAAAGGTATTATGATTTTAAATACAGGTTAGGTAACTGAGCTTCTTACCAAAAAAAGATATGGAATTAATATTATGTATTATCAATGAGTTTTATATTGTTATCACAAATGTCTGAGAAGTGAGGGACAGGAAATGAAATCTTGTTGTAATACAATTATAAATGCAGAAATTATGGTGCACCTATGAGCAATACCTCCCAGAAAAGAGAAGGCCCCAGTACGGGTTATCATAAACAAGAAATTTGATCCTTTAGTAGTTCAAATGTGATGACATCTTTTGTATTTTCCCTTGCTGCGCAGCTTAGTAGCCCGAACATAGTAACATCTTTCTTATTTTTCACTAACTGCACAGTTTATGTTCATTATGTCGGACTACGAAATTGATTCGTGCTGAGGCGTTCTTTCTTCTAGGAGCTCATCGCATTCAACAAATATGTTTGGTTCAATGTAAAAATCTGTTAAGACATCCTATGTAGCAACTCTTTTTTCTCCATTTTCCATATTAGTTGAAAATCTCCCCAGGATAGATGAAGAAAAAACTCCCACTACTAGATGTTACTAGAAAAAAAAATCAGTTTTTTTTATTCATAATTTCTCATTCTTTTTTACTAAAAGCTTGTTTGTTAGCTGTGGGTTGGTTTCCATGGACTTACACTAAAAACACTATAATTGAACATCACAATATTTCTTTAATGATTGATAATCATAACATCAACAATTAATCTTAGGGGTCAGATAATCTCACTTATTACTGGTCAAAACAATAATTCTACATTTAGGAAGGAGGTTATTCCCAAAACAAAACACAGTGGCAGAGCCATTAAACAAATAATATATATAAAATGACAAATTCTGATATTGTAGCTTGACTAAAAAAGAAAATATTTCTGCTTTTATATTGTCTCATGCTTGTGAGAAACAAAACACTTTTCAAAAATTTATGAGAATGCGAGAAGCCGTTTTGATGCAGACCTTGTGAACATCTTTTTTAGTTATCATGCATTTATTAAAGTTTATGTTTTTTAAACAGGTGGTTGCAGATTTGAATCTCTCTTAGGGCATGGACAGGGTGCATAGCATTTTTAAAAAGTGCTTAAGGGTGCTTATTTTTGATTTACGTTTTTTAAAATCCCATAAAGGTGGTTTTTTTATTCAGGATTTGTGAAAAGTCAGGGATGAAATTTTTCCGCTTTTTAGCGGATTTCTGCTTTTTTCACTTTTATCTCTTGAATTTCAGCTTTTTTTTTTATCAAAAATTCAGATTTTCTAAAAATTTCACCTTTTTTTTATAAGTATTGCGCTTTTTCAGAAAATTCACCGATTTTCAATGAGAAACAGAAAATTCAAACTACATAGCTACCAATCCTTTCTCATTTTTACTTATTTTAGCTATTTTCTCCCCTTTTACACGTTGTGATTCTTATTCACGCGATTTGAATATTGTACATTGCGATTCTTATTTACGAGATTTAAAAATCTGATATTGTGATTCGTAGTTACGCCTTTTTAAAAACCTATGTAGCGATTCGTATTCATGCAAGTTTAAAATTCAATGTCTTGATTTGCTCATCCGGTGTTTTTTTAAACATTGATTTTCGTATTTATACGTGATTTTAAAATAAGGCATTGGGATTCGCATTCACGCATTCTAAAAATTATGCATCATAATTCTTATTTATGCAATCTAAAAATTACGCAGCATGATTCGTATTTATGCAATCTAAAAATTATGAATCGTGATTTGTATTTCGTGTTTTAAAAATTCTATGTCCCAGTTTGTATTTTCTCATTTTCAAAATCGTATATCTAGTTTCATATTCATGTGATTTCAAAATTCATAATTGTTATTCATATTCACGCAATTTTAAGATCAGCTATCGCGTGTAAGAAGTAATTTTTTTTAAAATTAGTTACTATTAGGGTGACTGTTTTTCTAACAACAATTATTAGTATATGTAAGTGTTACAACATCAGAGAAACTGGAAGGGAATATATTCAAAACTTACATTCTGTGCTTGAAAAGAAGAAAAAATAGGATTTGTCCCAAGATGTTTGAGGATGGACTAACGACTAAATATAGCAAACATAAAAAATATAGCAAACAAAAGCAATCACTTAAAAAGGGATTTAATTAAATTTATTTGGAAAAAGAGAAATTAACTCATCATCAAAATTTTATTTATAATTGCTGTTATTTATGCTATAAAATGCAAAATTCTTATCAAATAAAAAACAATTATCTAAACAGTTGCTGATTGTCATGTAATTTTTCAAACTAAAATAGCAATTTTTGTATGTTAAGGAGTTACTATATATTTCTACTTCACTGTTATTGATATGTTTCAGAGGGCTCTAGTTAGATTAGACTATAATATGAACATAATGATTCGGTCCATTGTTAAAGTTTTTTTTTCCAATATAATTTAAAAAGTAATATTACTGATATATTTGCTATAAATCACATAACAGTATTTATTAAAAGAAATGAAATATTAATGTATATTTTCAGTAGTTTTAATTTGCTAAACCAGGTAGTTTTTCAAGTAGTGATTGTCTCTTATGTGAACTGAGGAAAAATATAATTTCCAGCTTTATTTTTTAATTGGTAATTTTTATTTTCACTAAATGTTAAGTATCAATGTAATCATTTATATAATAATAGATTAGTACGCAATTGTATGTCAACACATTATTTATTACCTTAAACTGTCAGGAATTTATTATTAAAGGGTTGCACTTGCATAAAATTTACTATCGGGGAAATTCAGCTTTTTTGCCTTTTGGCTAATCTCATCCCTGAAAAGTGCTTAATTTTCTATCTTTTAAAAATAGATTTTTTCTTTGCCCAGTTGATTGTTGTTCTAAATTACAAAAAATACATGATTTTTGCAATTAACTTTTATGTTTTTACTTTTATGTTTAAACTTTTATGTTATGTTTACTTGTGAAATTGTTTTATTTACATTTATGTAATTTTTTAAATTTAACCTGTTCAGGACCATGATCGTGTGTACGTGATGGCGTGATCCACCCTTCATGCCACAATAAGCACTTTCGGTACTCAGTTTTTTTTTATTTGATTCAAGAATTGTGGTGGTTGGTTAATGTTCAGGAGACTAATCATTAGAATTTACATTATTTTAGAATTTATAAACTTCGAAAATATTAAAGTATAAAGAAGGTGAATATAAATCAACAGAGAGCATCATACTACAGAGACAGTTTTAATTGTTCTGCCGAATAAAAAGTTAGAGTTCCAATTCTTGATCATAACTGTTGCTGTTACGATTACGTTGCGTCGCCGCAAGGTATTCAAACATGTTAACTACTGCGCGTGTTCGACTCATCGGGAAGATTGGGCCCAAGAATTACCGTGTTCTGGATTTTTGTTAATATTTTGGGGGAAAAAGACTTACTGAACTCTTATTGGTTTGTGTGGATGTAGATTTGTCATTTAGAGTATTTTGTATGTTTTGAAACTGTTTTATTAAATATTGCAATCGTTTGATTACAGTATATTCAGATATTGTCAATGATAATAAATTGTAAATTTTAGTGTTTAAAATTTCAGTAATAATTGTACATAAATTTTTTATTGAAATTAGGCCGTAAGGGTAAAAATTCCCCTGTCCCAAACATGCATGTGTTCTATGAGCATCTCCTATCTCTAGTCCTGAACAGCTTAAATAAGCATTCTTTCATGAGTTCTTTTTTTTTTTTTTTTAAACAGTTTATAAGTCATGACTCACAAAAGAAGGAATTGAATGACTGTTCTGCAGACAATTTCTCCAAGATCCTCTCCTTGTGTTACTCATCAGATCAGGGTGAAGCACTAAAAAGATTGTCAGAAAGTGGCCTGAAGGGCAAAAGTGCACCGCTCTCTGTATCATCCCTAACCTCTGGAAGAGGAAGAGGGAAATCAGCTGTTCTTGGTTTGGCTGTTTGCTTAGCCTTGGACTTGCATCTCTCAAATATCTATGTCACATCACCTCATTTGGAGAATGTTCAAACTCTGTTCTCTTTTCTGATAAAAGGTCTTCAGATTTTGGATTTCAAAGTAATTGTTATTTTTTTTTTTTTAAAGAAAACTGAATATTATTTTGTTTACTTATTACTTAATCATTCTTAGTATAGAGTGAAAGGCTTATTTAAAATGCAATTTACTTTTACTTTCATTGAGATCTAAATGTGCTTTTGATTCTAAAAAGTTGTTGAATTTAATAATAAGCAGCTCCAGAATCAATGTCTCATAAATAATATTGTTTCGTTATAAATTTTTTGTTAAATGTGTGAAAGTTAATCTTCATGAATATTAGGCTATATATGAAAAAAGCCTGCTATATACCTGATTATATATATATACACACAGTAAGAACCCGCTTTGCGTTATATCCAATTTTAAGGCTTATTACTTGCGACGAACGTTAAAGCAGATGTTTGACAAAATAGACGGAGAAGAGAAGCAATCAATAAGAGAATTTTGGAAAAACTACAATATCATGAATGCTGTAGAAAACATAAACCTTTCTTGGCGTAAGATAAGAGAAACATCTTTGAAAGGAGTATAGAAGAACATTTGGCCATATTTAAGTTAGAGCGAAACATTGGACACTCTGTCGATATGGATGAAATAGTGGAATTAGCAAAACAAACCAGTTTAGATGAGGTAAATGTGGAAGACGTCGAAGAAATAGTTCAGGAAACAGCAGTTAGTCTTTCTAATGATGAGCTCAAGGAATTAACTGAGCCAGAAGAAAACAAAAATATTGATAGTAGTGATTTCGAAGAAGAGCAAAAAGAACTTTCGATGACATTTGTTGTAGGGAGTTTGACCTCTATAACTGAAATTATGGACCAATTTGTTGAAAATGAACTAAATTTTGACAGGAGTTCAAAAGCAAGACAGAGTGTTATAGATGCTTTACCCACTTATCAACAGCTTCTAACAGAACGCAAAAGGAAAACACAAACTACATTAGATGCCTTCTTGACAAAAAGGCAGAAAATTGGAAACACAAAATAGACTGAATGATCTGACTGACTTGGAATTTTATTTGTTTTTATAAGTATGTATATTCTTTTATATTGTTTTTATTTTTGTAAGAAATAAATGTTTGGTTTTATTTTTATTAAAAAAAAGCATAATTATTACATTTAATACCTAACCGATTTTCTATCCTTCTTCCCCTAACCCCATTATTTACATGTTAAGATAGCTTTGTTAAGCGCTGTTTCGCATTGTGTTCTACTTTGATGGAACGCAATAAGCGGGTCTTACTGTATATATATCTCACAACAATCAAATTAAACTCACAGGCATGGTTATATGATTGTTATTATATTGTTATTACATTGATTAAATAATATTAGTTGTTACATTTATTAAAAACTATTATTTCTATTTTCTGGTATTTTTTAAATTTTTAATATTTTATCTGATGTTACTTGGATCTGACAATTATTTTTTGATGTGCTTGCTTTGCGACTATTCCAATAGTTTTTTTGCTTGATCTTTCGAGATTCTGTCAAGTATTTTTACAGTTGTTATTTAGCAAGTATATTTAGTATTTAGTAGTCTACAAATTTAGAAAAAAAAGGAGGGAAAAAAAGAAGCGGAAAGAAAACACCAAGTTTTATAAATACAAGAATTTTAGGCATTTTTCAATCAATTTATAGATTGCCCAAAATTTTCACGATAGTAAATATTTTTTTTAATAGTTTGAACTATTTTAATTACGAGAAATGAGAATTTTTTTACAGGAAATAAGAATTAGAATTAAATGTTAAAATGAGAATTTACTCTATTTGGAACCATGCTCTCTTTTTTCTAAGCTGAAGCAAATCATTTTTATTTTGTTTTCAATACCTTGCTTTTTTTTATCAAAAAATGAAATCTGATAACACACAGAAAATATCGATGTGTGCATTTCTAGAGAATTTTGCCCTCAAATTGAAATTTACAATAAAATAAAAAGAAAATTTCAATTCATTCTAGGCTAGTTTTATTTGAACATGTTTTAATCTTGCAATTATTCTGTTTTTGGAGAAACGAAAAATATTTAACAACTGACTTTATTAGTAGCAGCAGTCACTGTATTATAGTTATTCTTTCCATAGGAAGGAATAGATTTTGAAGTGTCCTCTGCAAGTATGAATAATATGAATTTCATCACTGGAGTTCAAATGGTTCATCGTCACAGGCAAATGGTTACTTATGTCCCTCCATTGGAGTACACCAAATTAGGAAATGCTGATCTGGTTGTGATTGATGAAGCAGCTGCAATCCCATCTGCTATTGTGAAAAAATGGATTGGTCCATTTAATGTTTTCATAGCTTCAACAATAAATGGGTAATACTTTTTTTTAGTTTGAACTCTAGATGCTAATCAAAATCATTTCCCTCCTAGAATCGGACTTTTCTTTTTGTATAGACAAATGTGTTGAACATGTTTGGATAAGAATTAAATAGCTTTGGTAATTTGTAATAAAAGTTAGCAATTTCAGTTACACATTATTCATTCATTATAGACTTCATCTGTAACAATTTAACTGATGCATGTTGGACTGGTAGGTATCAATGTCTATATATTCATAGCGGGATGTATGTTTAACTCCTCAAATTATTTTTTGTATTTCTCGCATTGAAAATCTGTAATACTCTTGAAAAATTAATCAAGCACATTTTCTACCTTGGAACTGTTTTAGGAAAAAATGATGCATCATTGAAATGAATGGAAATTTTTTCCTCGGCTTGAAATACTAACACATCAGTTGCATTTTCGTCATTACATCAAAGTCAGAAAAGACAGAACACTTGTCAACAGCTATTTGTGAAAGAGAGTTCGTAAATCAAAATAGGATAAAAGCAAATGAAAGAAATTGACAGAAAATTATTAGAAATAGTAACTTGAATATCTGTGCAAAGACTTGCATCTAAAGAATGAAATGAAAAAATTATTTGGATTTTTAAAATTGATACTGTCGTAAAATTATGGACAGTAAAAAAAATTAAAGTTGCTATTGAAATTTTACTGAAAATAAAATATTTTATTTAAAATTAAAGACTTAGTTTTTCTTTATTCAAAATATGTCAAGTATAGTACATGATAAAAAATTAAAATAGTACGCAACTCTTTGATATATTTTATTTCATTCGTAAAAGTTTTATTATATGAAATTCTTTTCAAGTAATTTATAATGTTATTGGCCACCTGAAAAGACCATTTGGTTTGCGTATAAGAACTCTCCGCTTTGTCGTTCCTCATTGCCTTCCCTTTCAACAAGTCACTGCTCTCCCGTTCTTCATTGCTTTCTCCCTTCAATAAATCCCTGCTTTTCCGTTACTCATTGCTTTCTTCCTTCAATAAATCCCTGCCTTCCCGTTCCTCATTGCTTTCTCCCTTCAATAAATCCCTACTTTCCCCTTCCTCATTGCCTTCTCCCTTCAAGAAGTCACCGCTTTCCCCTTCCTCATTGCTTTCTCCCTTCAATGAGTCACCGCTTTACAACTCCATATTAGTTATGCTACATTCAGAAATATTGCTCTGAATCTATGGTATGGAAAAAAAATGAAACGAATGTGGAAAATTTCATACGTGTACTCGCTATGTTGCAGCTTCCTCTTCTCGATTGCCAACGCGTCACAGTTCCTCATTGACCTTATTTCCCCCCCAGATCATTTACATTTCTAATAAAAAGATATGCTAATTATTTAGATTCAAAAATACCGTGATTTATCGTGAAGAATCGATATTTTCTGATGACAATAGAGTCCCGATTATCGAAGTTAATGTGGACCACAACTAACTCGGATAACTGAAAAACTGAGCAAAGAGTATAAGAAAGGAAAGAGTAGCTATAAATGTAATAAATTTAACAAATACAAAATTTATACGAGTACACCACATACAATTCATATAAGTAAAAATCTTACTTAAAAGAGCATATTTTAAGGAATCAAAAAGTTTTTACCGTATATTCTGGCTTATAACGCGCACTTTTAATACAAAAAATAACATTGGAATTTATGGGTGCGCGGTATACGTCGAATATAAAAAATTATAGCTTAAAAAGTTTAAATATGGAAAAATACTTTTATTTTAAAGAAATAACATACCTTTACCTATATATTGATTTTCGTTATTACATAAATAGTTCATTATATTCGTCTTCCGTTATTTCTTCCGGCATGTCATCACAATCTGTTTCGTCTTCATCATCTGTGTTAACCTCATCCATAAATAAACAGTCATCTTCTGATCCGTCCAGATTATTTGAAATGCTGCATTTTTTGAATGATTTTCTAACCATCTCAGGCTTAATTTCATCCCATGCTTTTAATATCCATTCGCACACTGTTTCCAAACTTGCATGATTATATGTCCTCCTTTTGTAAAGGTTCTCTCACCCTCCAACATCCAAGTGTTCCACTATTTTTTTAAATTGGCTTTAAATGGTTTGTTTAAGCAGACGTCCAATGGCTGGACTAATGGTGTCAATCCGCCCGGAATGACTGCCATATCGGTGTTACATTCTTTCAACAATTTTTTTGTATTATCTGTAAGGTGCGACCTAAACATGTCCCACACTGAAAGGCTTTCTAGTTTTCTTACGCAGCCAGGACGGATTTGCCAGACATATTTTACTCACAATTTAACACCATTTTCGTCCATCCAGCCTGTTTCGTGGACATGAACAAAAATATTTTTCGGAAAATTACAAACGGGAAAAGTTTTTCTCTTAAAAATAACCATTGGTTTTAGTTTCGTTTCATCCGCTAAGCAAGAAAGGGCTACGGTGAAATGAGATTTCTCATGTCTCGTTGTTATGATGACAGTTTTGACACCCTTTAAATCAATTGTTTTATTACCGATTATGTCGTGGGTCTCATCCATATTTCCTATTTGCGAAAGTAAATATTCCTTTCTTTCCCGCAGTTCTATAATATATTTTTGAAAACTTAACAATTTGCTATCCAAGTCTGGTAGTTTTTGTGATACTTTGGTTTTTTCACGTAGAACTAAATTTTTTCGAGCCATGAATCAGCTACACCAACTCACAGTAGCCTTGAAATTTTCACTTTCGTGTGGATTGATCTTTGCTCATTTTAGAGCAAACAAGCGAACACAGTTTCTTGTTACAATCAAGCCATTTTGCCGATTTCCCAAAACCCAGTTTTCAGCATTGTCCTCTAACACCGGCCACTTTGTTAGTCCTGTACGCAATGCACACTTATCCTTAGGCATATCCATTGTTTTCTCTTCATTTTTCTTCCATTCACGCACCGAGATTTCCCCAATACTAAAATGTCTCACCGCAGCCAGATTTCCATTTTCTTTCGCAAATTGAATTACTTTGCATTTAAATCCAGCGCTGTGTTTGCTTCGTTTGATAGGAGCCATGTCTACTACTAAAAACTACACTNGCTGGACTAATGGTGTCAATCCGCCCGGAATGACTGCCATATCGGTGTTACATTCTTTCAACAATTTTTTTGTATTATCTGTAAGGTGCGACCTAAACATGTCCCACACTGAAAGGCTTTCTAGTTTTCTTACGCAGCCAGGACGGATTTGCCAGACATATTTTACTCACAATTTAACACCATTTTCGTCCATCCAGCCTGTTTCGTGGACATGAACAAAAATATTTTTCGGAAAATTACAAACGGGAAAAGTTTTTCTCTTAAAAATAACCATTGGTTTTAGTTTCGTTTCATCCGCTAAGCAAGAAAGGGCTACGGTGAAATGAGATTTCTCATGTCTCGTTGTTATGATGACAGTTTTGACACCCTTTAAATCAATTGTTTTATTACCGATTATGTCGTGGGTCTCATCCATATTTCCTATTTGCGAAAGTAAATATTCCTTTTTTTCCCGCAGTTCTATAATATATTTTTGAAAACTTAACAATTTGCTATCCAAGTCTTTTGGTAGTTTCTGTGATACTTTGGTTTTTTCACGTAGAACTAAATTTTTTCGAGCCATAAATCAGCTACACCAACTCACAGTAGCCTTGAAATTTTCACTCTCGTGTGGATTGATCTTTGCCCATTTTAGAGCAAACACGCGAACACAGTTTCTTGTTACAATCGAGCCATTTTGCCTATTTTCCAAAACCCAGTTTTCTGCATTGTCCTCGAACACCGGCCACTTTGTTAGTCCTGTACGCAACGCACCCTTATCTTTAGGCATATCCATTATTTTCTCTTCCTTTTTCTTCCATTCATGCACCGAGCTTTCCCCAATACTAAAATGTCTCACCACAGCCAGATTTCCATTTTCTTTCGCAAATTGAATTACTTTGCATTTAAATCCAGCGCTGTGTTTGCTTCGTTTGACAGGAGCCATGTCTACTACTAAAAACTACACTGAATTCTTAGAGCTTGCAATGTTTACTTTTCAAAGGCAGGGCATCAAATGATGTGATTGGCAGAAGACGAATTACGTTTTGTCTCCTGATTTGTGGCATGCTTTTGAGACATACACAAAAGACAGCATTCCAGATACCCCTCCCCCCTTACTTCTGGAATGTGGGGAACAACATTCTTGCACACACTTGCATTGCTGAATACAACAATCTCTTTTCTCAGAATCACATTATTTCTCTTTCAACTCTACCCTCACATGCATGTCAAATTCAGTTCTTATACTTTTGTTAAAGATAGGGAAAAAAACTTTTTATTTACGATCTTGAAAGATGAGATATTGCACATGTACAATCCAAATTTTCGTGTGTGTTATACAAAGAGTATATCTTAAAAAGTAAAAAAAGTGTATTAGAAATTACGGATGCGCTTTATACGCCAGGGCGCGTTACGCGCCAGAATATACAGTACTTAAAAAAGTCCTTAATCGTTTTACATTACTTTGCTTTTCTGCAGCAATGTTTTGCTATTTTTTTAGGAATAACATGAAGGCTGGGGTGGCCTCTTCTTCTTGTTCTATATATTCAATAGCAATTTTGAAAGCTTTTAGTCTATCTGTCTGAGAGATTTTTATAGGTTGATTTTCAACATCACTGTCTTCATCATTTTCGCAAGATTTGTTTTCATTATTGACAATATTAATGATCCTTTCATTGGATCAAGTTGTTGCATTTCGTTTTCCTGAGTGTTTGGAAGATAAAATTCAGAGTCTTTTTTCCAGTGAAAGTTTTAAAAATAAAAAAATTAACTGGAAAACAAAAAATATCCGTGAAATATTTGATAGTTTGGTTAAAGCAGAAACTCAGATAATCGGAGCACTTACAATCGGGACTCTACTGTGATGCGATATTTATAATTCCTGTATTGTCCATCACTAGCGATCTTTCCTTTCTCTAAGTCTATCACCTGAGAGTTGTAATAATCTCGCTTAAATGGCAAAAATGGTTGTTGAGAGAATCAGAGGTTTTAAATTTTTTGTATTTTTAAAAATAAATTAATAATTGTCATATTAATTGCTTCTTTTCTTTCCTATTTTTTTAAAATGAAATAAGAAAGTTCACTGTACATGTCATCTAAATTTGAATCTAATTTCTACTGGAACTTCATGGATTTCACAATTTACAAATTTCTGTTGGAAAGAAGGTTGAAAAATTAGATTTCTTAAATTAATATTCTACAAATATAAGAAATTGTTCTAAAAAGGTTAAGTTGTTTCATTTTGAAGGAAATAGTCTGCACTTTTGAATAAGAAAAAAAAAAAACTAAAATTCCTGGACCTTTCATTTGAACACAATAGACTTCAAAGTACAGAAATAAAAAAAATCACAAAAAACGTACCTGAAACAATTCGTAATTAAATATCTAATTTAAAAGATGAAAAATCAGGCTTTGTAATTAGTTTACAATTTTAGTCCTTTAGCTTCACATTGAATGCCCTATTTTTAGAGTCTAGTCTAGGTTATACCTGCAATCTGGTCTATGCAGATAATACACACATAAATTCTTTATTTTATTATATATATGGATGCATGTTTTTGCTATCATCTTATTTAACTTTTCCTAAAGGAATTTCACTTCACCAAAAGAATCAAGGTGTATTTTCACCCCATAAAAATATTTCAGCTATATCTTTTGCCTATAGCCTTGTAGTTTCATTTCAAACCTAACATAATCAAGGGATTATCTGAACCAAGCAATGAGACAAACTCGCCTTTGCAGAAACTTTTTACTTAAGTGAAATTAACTTGATCTGCATTACCTAGAATGGAAAACCACAAAACTTACCCCAATGATTATGTAACTCCAACATATAATCTGACCGTTGTAGTTCAAACAATATTACATGGAGATTTTGTTGTTTTATGCTATGTATCACTTCGTATGTTTCCATCCGTAAAATTTGAAGTAACTGTGCATGAATGTAAAACAAATCTAGTTATTTATCATTAGTTTTTTTTTTAACTATTTAAATGGATGCATTGAATTCACAAAATAAATGCACTTATACTCAAGCTCAAAAGAATTTCACAAAATTTTCCTTTTTTCTTAGCAATTTCTTGCTGGTGCAAAAATTTCATTTGTGTCTTTTTCCAATTTCTTTCAACAGCTATAAACTTCAGCATGTTGAATTACGATCTTCTACAGCATTGTCTTAACTTTATACCTTACCAGGGATGAGATTTTTCCGCTTTTTAGCGGATTTCCGCTTTTTTTCACTTTTGTCTCTCGAATTTCTGCCTTTCTTATCAAAAACTCCGATTCTCTTAAAATTNTGTTTTGCGGGCCACATTGTAATAGTCCGCAACACTCGGGATCAACAAAAATACAGGCACACTCAGTTACTTAAAGGATGTTTACTCACCAGCATTCTTACATACAGGATAACATGTAAAGCTGCAAAATCTCCCTAATGTCTTAATCTGAAATGATACGAATTTTAGACAAAATTATTGAATTTATGAATTTTAGACAAAATTTTGTACATTTTTATTATTAATATTTACTTTAAAAATGTGAAAATACCATTTATTGATCTTTCTTGATAATTCTGCAGGTATGAAGGAACTGGCCGTTCTTTGTCGCTGAAACTTATCAGTCAGATACGAGCTGGCAACTTTCATCAGGGTACTGATCACAAAAAGAAAGAAATGAGCAGGGATATTGGTAACTTATTACTCCTCTGGCTAAGAAATTTTGTTTATTTCTTATCTATCTACAAATGCATGGGTGCAGGAAATTGCCAGACCCTAATACTTCCAAAGAACACTGTTTTTTTTGTTGAAATTTCACTCAAAATTATAGCATTTTCTTTCTTATTTGGTTACTATAATTTTTCAAGATATTTTTAGGACATATATTTTTTATATTTTCAAAATTTTTTAATTATTTTTGCTTTAACAAGAAAAAAGAAAGAAATTCCTTTGATTTTATGCATATGTTAAAAATAACAGAAAAAAAATATATATTGAAATAGTAATACAGTCAATTCGCTATAACTCGAAGTACGATAACTCGAATATTACTATAACTCGATTTTTTTATGAGGTCCCGACCCTTTTATCTTCAATTTCATGTTAATTATTCTCGATTACTCGAATTTTACTCCCTTTAACTCGATTTTTTTTTGATCTTTTAAAGCAAGAAAAAAACCTAGGAGCTGATATCTTGCCCCCTCCTTTGCAAAACACACACAAAGTCTTTCGAACTCTTCATGGAGAAGCTAAAGCTGTCACTCTTGAAGTATGAGAACAGTGGTTAAATGAAACGTTACCAAATTTACTTCAAGGATACAGTTAAAATTATGTTTTCAATATTGATGAAATGGGTTTATTTTTTAAATTTCTTGAATGAGCAAGGAACGTTTGACTGTCCTAGTTGAAGGAAATGCGTCGGGGACAAAGAAATTGCCCTTACTTGTTATCGGAAAATACCGAAATCCCCGATGTTTCAAGAATGTAAAAAGGTATCCCTTGGATTACAAGTCTAACAAAAAGTTTTGGATGACATCAGTTTTATTTGAAGACTATGTAAGAAAATTGGATCGGAAATTCTTCGCTAAAAAAAGAAAAGTGATACTCTTTATGGATAAATGCACAGCGCATAGTGATCTACCTAATTTGAAAGCAGTAAACTTGCAGTTTCTCCCGCCAAACACAACAGCAAAGTTGCAGCCGATGGACCAGGGTATCATAAAGTGCTTCAAACAGTCTTATCGTAAATGGCTTGTCAGAAAAATGATCTTAAATATTGTAAGCATTTAGAAGATTTGTAATTAATAAGCATTAATTAAATAATCCGACAATATTTTGAAAGTCCAAAACCGAAACTAACGGTAAGTCGAACTTCCGATATGTCAAAGTTTTTCGTGAGTCCTATCAGATTCGAGTTATCGTGAATTCACTGTAATTTATAAAATTAAATTTAAATCTCCACTCATACATTTTAGCAATTCAAACTAATAAATAAACAAAGTGACATATAAAGATAGATGTGTTGTATTTAATATTATAAATATATTAGTTAACTAAAATATGTTTGAAAACTGACAAGCTTATTTCCTATAATTGAAGTGAAATTAAATTTTTTTCAATTTAAGACAATCCTAGGAATCATTTGTCACCCACTTTAAAACTTTTCCTGGTAGTGAACACTCTGATTCTGCTACAACATAGTTTTTTTTAAACCAGATCTTTCTGAACAGCTGTGAAGTTCCATTGTATTTATTTAGTTGTTATTCTAATTATCCAATCTGTTATGATAACAAAAAGATATTCTTCTACTCCTGTGGTTATTTCAAACCTAACACTTGCTACGCTGTTTTCTTGCACAGCTTTTATTATTTCTACGAAATATCCATGTAGTTGGAAAATTTTTCCTCACACTCTATTGAGACTGTGACGTTTAGATATAAGAATAAATCAGGGGAAACATGTTAACAACAATTTATTTATAGGAACGTATTGTGTGGAAATAAATAATAATGTTTTTTCAAAATAAATATTGATGTTTTTTTTCTACAGCTTTTACATTTAAATAGTTTTTTATTCCATACCTTTCTTTAGGCCCTACTTTAATTGAAATATCACTGAACGAAGCAATTCGTTATGGAAATGACGACCCAGTAGAAAAATGGCTCAATGATTTGTTATGCCTTGAAGCTAGAACTGAAAGCATGCTAGGAAATGCTTTGCCTCCCTCTGACAGTTGTAGATTGTATCCTTTTTGCAGGTTTTTATATTTAGTAGATAGTCTCTTCTATAAAATCTATTCAAGTTTAAATTGTTTTCTTTACACTTCCTCTAACCATATACCGGTATAAAGCAAAATTAAAATTTTTTTTATCAGCCCATGTTCAGTAATGCTGCTTTTTCAATCATTTTAAATTCTAAACTGTTGATATTATTAATTAAAAAAATTTTCTCAAAATATGGGGAGCATTATAGGGTTTATTCATCTTAGGATCTGCTCTGCAGCCACGAAAGTTTCAGTGAGAAATATTTCAGAAACGTTTCAAAACACTTACCAGGGGTCTGTCTAGGTTTTTCTGAAAAGTACCTATTTTGTGAAAATTTTGACATAATTTGCGAAAAATTATATTTAAAAATCAACACAAAAACATTGTAAAAATATAGATTTATCGTTTCTTGTGGGTTACAAAAATAAAATTTTAAGAAAAAATATTTGGTGAAAACCGTTTTTCCTAAAGTTGAATTTGTGAAACTACCGTTTTACCTAAAATTGAATTTGTGAAGGTACAGCTAAACGGCAGTAAATTTGGGCTGGACAGACCCCTGCTTACTTATCATTATTGAGGGCAGGAAGAGCAAGGAAGAGAATAAAATCATCAAAACCAGTATGTTTGTTTTATGAGACTGCAATGCCTATCTTATTAATATAGAAATGAAGAGTATTTTTTGAAAGTATCCCTTAATGAGTGATCAAAGGTATCGTGTTAACAAAAAAGCTCTTTTCAGTTACAATAAGTGTGCTGAAAAATTTCTACAGCAAATTGTTTATCTCTTTGTAACATCTCACTACAAAAACTCTCCAAATGATCTGATGATGATGGCTGATGCCCCTGCCCATCAAATATTCTGTCTACTTCCTCCTCTTGGCAGCACTACTGAATTACCTCCTCCTGTTCTCTGCACAATTCAGGTGACTTCTTTTACTATTAGACTCAGTTGTCAATAATTTTTGCACTGAAAGTTGAATGAATATCACACATGTTAAAATGATTGTTACATAGGATGTTTTAAATCTCCATTTTAAAAATGAATGTTTTCTATGCTCTTCTTGTCTTTTAGGTAGCTGTAGAGGGTAAAATATCTGCAGAAAACTATAGTTATGAGCAATCCCATGGCCATAGGGCTTCTGGCGACTTAATTCCCTGGATTATATCTCAGCAGGTGACTTCCTCTTGAATTATTTAAGCTTATTAATTGTTTTAATTCTATGTTGCTATTAATTCTTGTTGTAATCCTGTATCATAAACTATTCTTAGTGTTTGTTTATTTAAAGAATTACAAGTATGTATTTATTAAAATATAATAAAAAATTTTTTTTTTAACATTTATTTTTATTTATGTCCTCATTTTTCGCGGGGCGATTGCTCTGAGGATAGAGTGCTCGCCTCTCCAGCCCAGGTTTGAATCTTGTTCCCAGATCGCACCGAGCATAGTAATGACCGAAAATTGAAAATAAATAAAAGAACTAATGTTTTATTTGATTTTGTTTTCTGATTACATTGTAGGCTTACAAATTTTATTATTTTCAGTTCCAAGAAGAGAGTTTCACCAATTTTGCTGGTGCTCGAGTAGTGCGAATTGCTACTCATCCTGATTGCCAAAGAGTGAGTTTAAAGTTTTTACTTAGTTATTTAAATAGTAATTTATTTAAAAAGTAAAAATTTTCTTTAAGGGCTGTTCATATTTTAATCTGTACCAAATCTTTCTTTGGAAACGTAAATTTCATTTTGGACGAAATTTAAACAGTCATTTTCATTGTCTAAACTATAACAAGTTTTTAACAGAATTAAGTTGTTTAAAAATTTTTAATATCTGTTTAAACTTTGAAATAAAAGGTGTCATACCTTTACCTCACATTTTATTGAAAATTTTTTTTTTTGATAATATTCTAGCTGACTCTGCCAGCTAATCGGTCTCTTCTTTTTTTTTTTCAAGCACCTCAACCGTGGTGCAAATGCTTAAAGGTGCTTATTTTTGACTTTCATGTTTTAAAAGCCTTTAATGGTGCTTTTTTTATTGAGTGTTGTTAAAAAGTGCTTAATTTCCCCGTTTCGAAAATGAGATTTTTTTCTTTACCATATTGATTTTCACCTTGTATTATGCAAAAGCGTTATTTTCATATTGTTCTATTCAAAATTCTAAATTCATTCAGACACAATGCATTTCGGTGTACCGTCGGTCCGTAGCGTATGAATGTGCCAATCATTTTACGTGTTTGATGATATACTTGCGGGTCCCCATGTGTGTATACTGAGCTGAGTTCGGTGAGGTTTTTGCACTCTCGTGTGCAAGTCTGATGCATTTTGCATGATATTCTCAATTGCAGGCTTCATTTTCCACTGAAAAGAGTTCTGTGTCAGCAACAGGTTATTTTATCATGATCATGTAAAGTCTTTGAAAATTATTTTGTAATTTGTTAATGTATATAGTGCTTTAAATATTTTTTAAGTGCTTAAAAAGTACTTAAAAGGTGCTTATTTTTTGTTCAAAAACTTGGCTTAGCACCCTGTCAACGTTATTGTTGAAAAAAGCAGATTTATAAAAATGTATTTTTAAAATAGCGCTACTTTTTTCTGTACAAGGTTATTTTAAAAAAAATATTTGATTATTTCTCTTTTGTATTTAAAGTTTGGTTTATGCAAAAAAATAACATAGAAAAAAAAATCATTTTTTAGCTTTGTTTTCTCTATTTTGTTTGTAATTTTATAAATTAAATTATTCTTTTTTCTGCCTTTTTGTAATCCTTTTTTTTAAAAAGAATGTATTGGAAAATATTCTTTTCGTGCGGAGGTTATTCATCACTTGGTTTTATTAAAAATTTCTGTATAAATATATCATGTGATCAAATGTATAAAGTTTTTTTTTTCCTCACATGTATACATAAAGTATAACAGAATACACACCTGAACAATTATTTATTTTTTTTACTTGATTTTAATTTCTGTTAACTTCTAGATGGGATATGGAAAGAGAGCCCTTCAACTATTGTGCCAATATTATAACTCTGAAACCAATGACTCAGCATCATTGAACGAAAGTAGAGTTATGCCATTACTCTATGAATTGAAAGATTCACCTCCAGAAAGGCTTGAATACATCGGAGTTTCGTATGGCTTGACAACAGAATTGTTAAAGTTAGTATATTGTATGGTATGCATTTATGTTCAAATCGTACAATAATGATTTTGTAGAGCATATTTGTTTTTTAAAACTTATGTCAAACACAAAGAAACACTGCTTTCTATCATAATTAAATATTTCATTAACTTTATGTACCAAGTGTTATTTAAAAAAAAATGTACCATTAAAGAACTTTTTACAAATTGATTTATCTTAACAGACCTTACAGGATTTTTATTTTTAAAAGAAATCTTTAATATTATACAGACCTGTCAGCTCTCCAGGGCTAAACAGAAGAAGGGCTGGTTCATTCCTTACTCAAAGCTGAAGCTACGATTCCCCACAGATCTCGAAAATCACAACTAAAGGATAGGATGCTTTTTAGAATCTCTGTAAGAAATAAGTTCGACACTTTTGTGATATTAGCTGTCAAGCTTTACTCAACTAACAAATTATTTCTGTTCAAAAATGTAGTGTTGGTACATTTCTTGGTATTCCTTTTAGTATTAAAAAATAAAATTTTAAAGTTAGGCTAAATGGTCGTCGTCATCACTTTTTAATTTCAGTTTTTAACTTTAGCTGTTAAATAAAAGAAAGCATGTAAAGGCACTTTTATAGTTACATATTGTTCGATAACAATAGTTTATTGTTTGGGATGTCTAATTTTGATATATTTATACATTATCTCACTAAAAAACAAAAACCTTAAATGCTAATTACTGAAAAATTAATCTTTGCGTCTATAATAATGGAAATATTACGCATAAATTAAGGTGTTATAATTAAATTTTGCCGTCATTGGCCGTCCACCACCACATATAACACATAAAGGTGAATCAGCTAGTCCAATGCAAAATAAATGATTCTGTAGACAGTCATGCCCCGTTAATAGTCTAAAGGCTGAAACCGCAACTGATCGCGGGTGGTCAGGAATAAAAGCTGAGTTTGTTAAAAGAACACTCCAAGGCTTGCCATCGCAAGCTCGAGTGGCAAAATTTCTAAAAGTCTTTGATATATGAGTGATGTCAGCAGTTTAATGGAATGGAGGCTTGCTTTAGTTTTGGGCTTTTGGAGAACCGCAGCTCCTCTTTTGGCAAGCATATCTGCCATCTCATTTCCATAAATACCGCAGTGTGAGGGTACCCATTGAAAATATATCTTGTGGGAAAGTTCTTTTATGGTTTCCTGGCACTGTTTGACTAACATGTTCTTACACTCTTGATAAGAGGAGATGCCCTGCATTGCTGAAGTTGAATCTGAAAGGATAACTGCTTTCTTGAAAGAGTTCTGGGTCAATGATAGTTGTTGAAGAGCCACATGGATAGCTTTCAGTTCTCCATCAAAATGCGTTGAGTAAGCTCCTACGGGTAAGTAGAAACTGAAAAGCTTGCTAAAAACTCAAACTCCAGCCCCCTGGTCCCTAACAGTCAGAGAACCATCTGTGTATATATGTATCCATTCCCCAGCTGGAAATCGCTGCTCAATTGTATCCAATGCAATAGTTTTTATTTGCTCTGGACTCATTTCTTTCTTATCTACTTTTATATTCAGGTCCAACCGCACATCAAGGAAACTATAGTCCAAAGGGTTTGTCAAAAGCAGCAGTGCAGGTTTCAGTGCTCTTATGTCTTGGTATTGTTCAAGGCGAGAGACACACTGTAGGAAACCATTTTGCTTCTTCAGATTTCTTTGTCTATTATTATCATAATTCCTCCAATAAGAATTACTTGGCAACCGAATAAGTCTCTGATGAAGGATAAAAGCATTTTTCTGAATTAGGTTGATCATTGGTTGGTTTGCCGAAACCAACTGCATTACCAAAATGGGAGTAGTTTTAACAGCTCCGGTTATAATGCGCAATGCCTGATTTTGAAATACCTCCAGACGTTGTATCACATCTCCCGTTGCCGAGATCAATATCTCACAGCAATAATTTAGTATCGGTCGAATATACATTTTATATGTCATGTTGAGAGTCTCTCTACCACATCCCCATTTGACACCTGCCAAGCTTTTAAGAATAGGTAGCCTAATAGCTCAAAATGTAAAAAGAAAAAAACTTTTTTCACTTAGCGATCATTTTAATTTTAAAAATACCCTAGCTGCTTTATTACAAACATAATTACATTGCTTTATTACATTTTGTTATGAACATTGATGTAAGCCTCATTAAGAATACATTATTAAATTTAAGATCTAATTTTATGTTTGTAATAAAGCCGCTAGGGTACTTTTAATATTTAAGTGATAGCTAAGTTAAGAAAGTTTTTACTCAATTTAAGCTTGATTTAAAATGAATATATTAACTCTCTTACGCATATTGGATTAATATCTTACCCACAAAATTCAGTCTTAAAGCTTTAGAACATTTTTTCAAAATGTCTGATAAAGCCAGTATATTTCTCGAAACATGCTTAATGATGCTTAATTATAAAACTTAATTTTTCTGTAACATGAATACAATGAAAACATAACTATAAAAACATCAAATTTTTTTTAAACAAAAGTAAGACAGCTTACAACTAGGGTTAAAATAAGTGGTTGATACTCCTAATTTACTCATAAAAATTTAAATTTGATGATTAGAAAATTTTACCCAGTCACTATTTTTGACACCTACTTTTTAAAATACATTTGCTCCCACGATTCAACTCCTGGCGGAGCTATATGATGGGCATAAAGTTACAAGTTTCATCTCCCTCACTCCTAGTATCAGGGGGTGTCCAGGGGTAAGATACGAAATTTGAATTTGAGCTTTTTTGAAATGTTTGATTTAAGACTATTCCATCATAATTTCATTTCCATTGATGTTAGTTTTTTCAGATGTTATTTATCACTTGTTTGGCCCCTGTTCTGTTGCAAATTGTGATTCTTCAAATAAAAGTTTTTGTAAAATATAATTCTCTTTTTTGTGATGAGTGCCCTTTTTTGGAAACCTGAAAAGTTTTGCACTAAAAATTATAAGAAAGAATAAATATTGTGGCTAGAAATATAATTTTGAAAATACGTCTGGCTGAACCATTTTTGCGACTAAGAAATAATATTTAGGTGCCATTAGCACCTTACATACAACACACAGCTCATGTTTTGAATTGGTAATATTAATCTGAGAACTCTAAAATATCTTATCTGCTTCAGTTTTAGGCATTTCTCTTGTTATTTTAGCTGATTTAAGTTTCTTTTTTAAAAAGCAGGAATTTAAAGGTTGACTTACATACCAAATACAAGCCAATACAAAAGCGAGTCACCTTGCACAGTTATTGCTTATAACTAATTTTAGATGACCTTATAAGCAGGAAAATATTACACATTGTTTTTTACATTATTTCTTAATTTTATGTTAAATGTTGACATGAATAATATATTACTTATTAGCTTGAACTGTAACACTACAATAATTATTTTTATGAGAAGATTGAAAAAAATCCCCAATATTAGTTTTAACTGATACGCTAATGTTATCTGTTACAGATTTTGGAAACGAGCTGGATTTGTACCGCTATATATCAGACAAACCACAGTAAATAAATTTTTTTTTCACCTTTCAAAAACTAATGCTTGACTCTTGAATGTTTGAAGATAAATGAAGTTGAATGTTTGAAGATATTTTATTTTTATTTGATTATTTTAATTTATGTAATTAATTATTGACTACCTTTTATGCAAAAAAAGAAACTCAGGTTATATATATATATATNAAATCAATTCCGGAGGGCGGGAGAATAACTCAAAATTCGGGAGACTCCCGCAAAATGCGGGAGAGTTGGCACGTCTGATATTGTATCAATCTGATTATATAAATTGTTATGTAATAAAATAATAAGTTATTATTTTGTGGCATTATTCCAATTTTTTAAATTTAGAGAAAGTTTTAGAATAAGTCTTAACTTTATTAAGATTCCTTTTCTGCTTTCATTACTCGAAATCCCCTAGAAGTAATAAAAAATTAGTTTAAATGCTGTTTTTTTTATTTTTAATTTCAATGATTAGAATTTATAATTAAAGAAACAAAACTGAAAACCTGGTTAAAAATAGATTACATTAATATGTTAAAAATATATTATTTATTTTAGTTAAATTTGCAATACTTAAAATTTTTAAACTGTGGTGTAACTTTAGAAAGATTTTAATTTTGTTTTCATTACTCAAAACCTCTTTAAAATCATGAGGCAAATTAATTTAACTATCATTTTTTTTTTATTTTAATGGTTAAAATAAATAATTGAAATAGGAAAAAAAGCATGTTTATAATTGTTAAATTATTTTTTCTAATTGTATATATTGTATTTTAGAAATGGTAGGAAAAAAATTTTCAAATTAAAAAGTTTCTAATTGGAAAAAGTTCGAGTAGGTCACCACCACACATGATTCATAAAATATTTGAATGAGGCTTAGTCAACATTTTTAAGTACTTAATTGAATATTTAAAACAAGTAAACTAAAGAAATTATTTTTGATATTTTACTGATTTCTTATTGTTGTATAGCTTTCGTATTCAGCAATTTTAAAATTTGTTGCAACTTGCACTTAATAGCTTTTAAAAAGCAGATTTAATTTGTTGAAGAAGTCTAATGTTATCTGAATGTTTTAAATATGTAAAAAATATTTCAATTTACTTACAGAGAACATTATACAATTTTGTTTTTAAAAGTTTTAAATTATTTGTTTGAATAGAGTGATGTGACTGGTGAACATTCTTGTGTGATGGTGAAGTCTGAGAATCAGTGGTTGAAAGATTTCTACTCTGATTTTTCATCCAGATTTGTATCCCTCTTGCCTTCTGCTTTCAAGTCGTTCAGTGGGTCACTCGCCTTAAGTGTTCTGCACTGTAAACATTTGAGACCCATAAAAGGTAATTATTGCGGAGGTTTTTGAAATCCTTAAAAGCACTTATTTATTTTTGGTTGTTGAGTGTTTCTCTTTAAATAGTGGTTTCCAACTTTTTTAGCTGTGAGAATCATTTGTAAAAAAAGTTTTGAGGTTCACCAGTAACTTTACTAAAATGACAAGCTTTCCTCTTCCAGAATTTAACTTTTATTTCAAATTCAAAACTTTTCAAAGGGAAATTTTTCAAAATTTTATGTTTAAGAAAAGGATTATAAGATCTATCATAAATGATAGCTGTTTATTGGGTAGCGGTCTTTTAGTTTCAGGATCCTAAAATATTCTACTTATTAAACCAGTGATACACTACTGTTATTATATGTAATGTTTAAATGCATTGTTTCAATTCTTTATAAATGAACATTTTTATATAAAGAAAGAAACATATTGTATTTAGCCCGTCCAAATACCAATTACGAATACTACAATTAGCTGAATACAAGCTAGTCATAAAATTTAATGTGGGCAACCATGGCATAGTTACCAACTTATACCTTTTTTATATAAATTTTTCTAATAGTGCTTTTTAACTTAATGCTTGAATAGTTAGATACTTCATTTGATGAATTTGACTAACAATTTTTTGTCTACCACAACAAAATATTTAAAAAATTGTGTTTCTGAAAACTCTCTCATTAAATGGCTCTAGAATTGTCAAATTCTCCCAAAATGTATCTTTTAGTAATATATCTTTAATTAAATGTATCTTTATATTGTATCTTTTAGCAATTATTGAAATACGTGCCCATTAAATTTGTAGACGAGCTTTTAGGGGAGGTAGGGCACATCATAAGGAATTGTCATTGCAAGGCACTTTTCTATCACGAGTGTGTTGTTTGACTGTCTTTAAACCAGTACTTTTATTTATTTCAATTTCATGATTTCTATTGTCAAAAATTTCAAGAAATAGGAACAGAAACAGCACTTTTTATGAATGATTTGGTGACTTTCTTGATAAGCTCCCCAAACAATCAAATTACTATAAAATAGCTATTTTTGTGTATTTGAACACAATTTTCAACAATAGTTGTTTGAAAACGTTAAAATAACATGAATTAAGATAATTTAGATAAACGAAAGTACCTGTTCAAAGGCGAACATAAAAAAAAGTTTCTAATAGGAAAGTTCCCCTAGCAGGACATTTCCATGAAATTCTTAATCCTTGTGAAGTGCCCTGCCTCCCCTGGAAGTTTGTCATAATATTAACGAGACTTCCTGTATAGATATCGGCATGTGCATACAACTGTGTATATTTTTTTATTAGTACATTTAGTAGTGGGTAGTCCTCAAAGTTTTTCTTTTCTTTACAAAGTGGGTGGTCTTTACTACTAAAAAAATTTTGTTTATATTTCTCAAAGGTCTCTCAGCTGCAGAGATGCAATGGTTTGTGGGTCCCCTCCAGCTCAAGAGGTTGGCAGCTTATAGTAACAATCTGATTGACCACCACTTGATACTCGATGTTTTGCCAGGAATCTCCAAGCTCTATTTTTCCGGACACCTCGGCTCTCACTTTTTGTCGTCTCTTCAAGAGGTATAAATCAAACATATATTTTTAAAATTGCAATAAACTATTGTTTTTTGTATATATATATTATGTAATGATATAAAATCTAATGGTACTGATTTATAAAACATGTCAGTTTAATTATAAAAAGAAAAAAAAAAGTTTTTGTAAAGATTTATTTTTGTTTGGAGTAAAGAAGAGTAGAGTAGATATAAACCTGTAATTAAATTTTATGACACTCATTGGTGAACCTATCATGCGAATTATTGGCTTGTAAAAATGCTCTCAAAGCAGTTAATTAGTAGGCCAGATAAATTCATATTTATATTATAAACAATAACAAAGGCATAATACTTTAGAATAGTTTTTTAAAAAAAAGTATTTTGTGTATAAATAGACTCTTTAAAACCATTCGTAATACAAAGAAATATATTAAATGAAATTATATTATTTAAGCAAATTACAATAGCACCAAATTACCAGAAGTGTGTCAGCAAATCAAAAGTGTTTGATAATCAAGGAATTTTTAATCAGAGTTTTTTTTGTGTGTGGGGGGGAGGGGGTTAACTTCTGCAATCAAGCATAAAACTATCGCTCACATTATTAAAGACCCTTAACTTCTCTGTTATAAAAGTAAATTGGTGCCCTTCCTAATCCTATGAAGTCACATAAGTGGCAGAAGTGAAAGCATTTACTTTTTCATTTTGCATTGTTTGGATTATATACTAATTATTCTAAGGTAAAAGCTGATTCTGTGTAAATCTCCTATTTTTTACTTCAAAACAGATGATTTTAAGTAAGTTCCTGTTGACACGATCTCAAATTTGAGGTAGAGACAATGTGATTATTCAGTCATAGCTGCAAACTCTACTGGATTTTACCAGTTTCATAAAAATTCTCCTGGTTTTTGTACATTTTAGAAAATTCCCTAAAATTAATTAAGTTTCTTTAACCCTTTCGCTCCGTCTGTCACATATACATGCCAGCAAGAAACGCACTCACTTCCCGACCGACACACCGGTGTGCCAGAGCGTTTTCTCGTTCACTTCCAGCTGTCACTCATTTGTGTCAGTGTCCTGGAATGTTTTGAAAAATAAAATTTCTGCCAGAAGATGGCATTGTATGTCCATATGGTTTCAGATACTTGTAGGTTTGACCTTCTACTCAAAATGAGAGTAGTATGACTCACATACACGTGGTTTTTAGGGGAAAGGAATGGAGGAGAAAGAAATGTTTTATGACGGCTCTTTAAATTCGCACGAGGTATTTGTTTACAGTAACCAGGGGAGGTTAATTTTTTTCGCTACAGCTTTGGGTATTTCGATTTGCGGTCCAGTTTTTAGTGCAATGTTAGTGTATTCAAATTTTTCATACGAAAAAATAATATTAAGTCTTATATTCAGTTTTCAGATTTGTAATGTTAAAAAATATTAAATGGTAAGTACATAATGAAAATGAAACGTGTAAAATATATATTTAAACAAGAAATAACTTAAGTAAATAAAGTATTTATGGAAATGTATATAAAGCATATGTCATTTAAATACTCTATGGAACACTATTGAACAACGAGATGACATTTTCGGTAATTTCATGGATTTAGGCTTAACAGCAAAAAACCCTCCGGCCCGGGAGAGAGACTGCCAGCCTCAGTGATGAGCGTGCGTTTGCGCTTCCCGTCGTGAAAGGGTTAAAAAATCCCTATTGAAGTAGAATTTATGTGCAAGATTATTGCTTGCTTGAATATTTAAATAAGTGTCACTAATACATAATGAAGTGAGTCAGTTAACTATCTTTGATGAATTGAATGCCTATTACTATTCAAAATTTTGAATAAACATAATACATAACATTTCAAGATCATTCAATGTGAAATCATAGCTGGAAAATATTGCAGTTTTTCTATTTTGATGACTATAAAAAATCCCTAGAATTCCCTCTGAATATATTTAGTATATTTTGCAACAATTATCATGAAATTTATATTATTCTGTAAAATCTATAGGATTTTTTCCTATCCTTGTTGACAGCGATATAATTCAATTACCCTACTCAAGTTCTTTTTTTTCTTTCCAGGATGAGGTGCCTTCTTGACTTGTTTTTTTTTCTTCTCATATTTAATTGTATCCTCGGCTTTGTTTTAGCTATTGTTTTGCTAAATTCATACATTTATTCTGCTGGAAACGAGTTAAGATGATTTATTTACTTAACGTTCAATATAATGGTGGCCTCGGCTAAACCAGTCATTTTAATCTGAGGTCATTATTAGGACTGGGTGATGTAAGAAATTTTAGATCGTGATACATCGTCTGTTAGACATCGCGATATATCGCAATTTAGCATATGTTCAAAAATTATCTATCAGAAATCTGTAAATTAATCAAAAATAAATAAAAGGAATAAATCTATTACAAAACTAAATGTCTTAAGTAAAAACAAACCCAATCTTTATTTTAATTTTTTTTAAAATTAAAAATCACTTAAGATTTATTGGTTTAAAAATAATAATAAAGCTAACAGAATTTTACATACATACATTAAAAATTAAAAGGAAAAAAAAACGAAAGGAAAAAAACAAACTAAAGAAATGTTCTCTTTAGTAAAACATTTTTTAAATTATTTGTTGAAAAAAAATAGTGCTTTTGAAGCATTTTTAGACCTTTTTTAATTTATTTATTTAAAATAACAAAGTTGTGTTAACTAATGGTCTAATTCTATACTTAATGAATGTAAAAATAAATTTTTACATTCATTATATTTTTTATCTATTTATTATTATTTTCTTTTTTGAAAATAAAATCGACTATAGATTTATTTGTTTAAAAATGATACAGACTGTCTAACAAATTATGAAACAAACAAGTATTGAAAGAATTTTAAGAAAAAAAAAACTTTTAAGTAGTATTGTTAAATTATTAAAAAGCGTCAAAACATTGCTTAACTTTTTATTCAATTAAAAAAAATATTTGTTTTAGCTAATAGCCAAATTTTTTAAAATTAAAAACGACTGAAGATTTATTTGTTTAAAAATAATCAAATTATTATACATACATGCATTAAATAAATTTTTAAAAAAACTAGCTTTTTATAACAAAGTTAAATACAAAATGCCCCTATTAAATTGTATCGCTTAAAATGAAAAACAATAATTAAAAAAAAAATTAAGAATCTTTTTTTTATTCATGTTTTCTTTTCATTAATAGATTGAGTTCAGAACAAAGAACGAAAATTTAAAATAACAGCGATTGCGCAACGAGTGCCAAGTAACAGTAGGTCTACAAAAAATAATTTACAAGAATCGTTAAATACCGACAGACAACAAAAAAAAAGAAGAAGAAAAGTGACGAAATAATGCACAATGAAACGATCGCTAAGTAGTAAAGTGCACAGCGATCACACAATAAAGTAAGTCCAGCTGAAAATAATCTTCAAGAAAAGTAAACTTCCAAAGACAAAAATGGCGCATAAAGAATCTATGCATAGCGTTCTATTTCAACTCCGATCCTTGCACGAAACCAGGAGCTTTTCGTTATTCAACATCATGAAACTAACATCGTCTTCATAGCTAGACGCTAGGAACAGCTCCGCAGTTAGACGAAGTCAAAATAGTCTTCGTCACCGCGGTGATAGCGTTGGCAAGTATTTTCACATATTAAATCGTTATATCGTTAAACTGTGAGCATTGTCTTACACGACGGCTTAAACCAAATTTCTGATGCAACGCCTAAAACGAAAGTCATTATATCGGCCAGCCAATATATGCATTAAATTGATATTTCACGATGCATCGATTTATAGCCGAGTCCTAGTCACTATATTTGGAGTGCATACATATTATTGACGGATAGTTAAAAGAAGACCAATTTTAACAAAGCAATGCTTTACTTTATTAACAATTCAACAACTAATAGAAAAATTGATAATAACACAACTTTTTTTCTACATTAATACATCTACATAAAAATATCCTTAAATACTACTTCATGCTGGTTTGTAGCCATCTATGGTGGGGGTGATCAGTCCAATTTAGTGGTAACATCCTTGTAGTATTAAGCATATTTTTGGTCATTTCAGATGCATCTTAATTTCGATAGGATGTAGGGATGTTTATCCCAGAAAAATGAATAAAATCATGTAGGAAAAATTGATTTATTAAGTAAATATCAAATTGAATATGACAAATATATCAAAAATATAAAATAAAAAGAAGTCCTTAAAGGGATCAAGAAAATCATTCTCTTAACATTGAGAATTTCTGTTAGGATAGATATTTAACAGTTGAGACTGAGAGACCCCCAGTCTAATCACCAATAATTCCAAATTGAAAGTTAATGAAAATTGTTCCCAATGGACAGTTAGGAGCATGGGAAGAGATCCATGGTTGGCGATTTATCCATAGATAAGGTAGCCAAAAATAAAGCCAACCCCCCATAATCAAAAGTAAATTTGAAAATAGTTTGGCGAAAGCGAATCACTAAAAAAACCGTGACAATTAGTAACACCATGTAACTGAAACATTTTTGGTAAGAAATAAAGAGTTATAAATAGATATTTTTTTTCGATGGAGTCGGTACAGTGTTTGAATGAGTCTTACATTAGTATTGAAGTAAAATGTTAGCCGTTACATTGATCGTTAAGAAAAAAATAAAATACTTTATATTAGCTTTTCATAAATTGTAATAAAAATTAAATAATTGGTTTGATTTAATTAAAAAAAATTAGGCTAAGAATGATTAAAAAAATAAGTAATTAAAGACATTTTCAAAGCTAAGAAATGCCTATTGTGGCATCACACATATTGTGACGTGACACCCACTTTTTCATTAAATTACATTTGTTGAGTTAACTGTTAAAATCACAAATGAATTACTCTGGGGGATTGAAATTTCTCTAAAAGAGAGAATAATTTTTAAACAAGAAAATTTTATGATTGTATTTTGTGAAAAGAAAGTTGTGAATGACTTATGACCACTTTAGGATTTAGAAAAAATGGTGTCATGCCACTTCTTCTCCATCCTATTGTTTAAAATTAATTGTGTTGTGGCAATATCAAAGGAAATAATTTCTTTGAAACTTTTTCTAAATGAAAATGACTGAGTATTGAACAGTTTAATTTGAACATTATAATGCGTCTTTTAAAATCTATGGAATAGCAAATGGGGTTTTATGCATCAGTTTTTATATTGGAAGAGTCGCTGCAATGGGGGTGTAGGCTATATTTATGTACTGTAAGCAAAACTTTAGAAAATATTTGTAATTTTCTTCTAAAAACCTTTTTTACCTTATTTAAATTCTTTCATTTATCATGCATTTACATTCATGTGATTGAATTTTGTGATTATAGTTTAATCTATGACATGTTCAGTCTCTTTGTTTATAGTGTAGATTTTAGTGTTTGAAAACCATCTTGTCAACCAAAAATATTTAAATTGGGAATTTTGTTTCGTTCATATTTATTTTTAGATCATTTTGTTGTGTATAGGCTTACAGAATATTTGTTATTATAGTATAATATGAATTTTCTTACTATAGTTTAATAGATAACTCTTGGTTTATAGTGTAATCTTATCCAAGACAAATCTACTTTTTCAAGATGATTCACTTGTTCAAAACTCACATGTTTAGAAGGCAACTAAAAATACTTAAAATGTAAATTTTGTTTTTATTTTTAGGTCATTCTGTTGTGTATAGGCTTACAGAACAAATCAATAGAAATGACCTCCAATGAGTTGAATATGGAGCCTCAGCAAGTGATGGGATGTTTTAGAAAAGCAGTTAAGAAAATTGTCAATTATTTAAACTCAGTCTTTCTTCAAAATTCAAATAAAAGCTCAAAGGTTAGTTCAAACAAATAGTCTGTGAAGTAGTTCTTTTAACTATAAAACCTATATAAATTTTTCAAAGTCATGCCATTTCACCCTGTCAGAGGTGGTGAAAAAAAACCAGAATGCTTCATTTAAAATTCATCTGTAATAGATAGCGTTTGAAAATTTTCATAAAATATTTTTATGATTTCTATTAACAATCAAATGTTCCTGCAAAGCAAATCATTTTCTGATTCTGTGTGTCAGAATTAAATTGTGATTTTGGCAATTTATAAAACTTTCAGTTCTCTATTTCTCTTTCTGAACTATATAATTCATCTCTCATTTCATGTTAATTATATTTTGCAGGAAAAAGAAGAAACTTGATGTGATTTAGTACCAAGAACCCCAAATTTAGTGCTACTATTGGCTGTCATGGACAGCAATGATAAGTTCTCCTGTAACATTTAAGGTTTCTGTGATACTCAAAATTTCATACTTTGTACATACTGTGCATGAACCATTGTTATATACATATGTAATAAAAGTTTTTTTTTTTATGAATACATCAAATATTTAAGCCAGACATTAAATTGGCAGTGATTTGGTTTCATTTATACGCATATAGACTGCCCCGTAATAGTATGTTAAATACTTGTACAGGTTATTGATTTTGAAAAGTGTTTACTTATAAAAGATTTAGGTATGGTATGATGCAAAGCTTCCAACTTGCATGACTGTTGAAAATTTATTTTATATGGTGGTATTCGCTGTGGCAGATTCGCGGGGACAGTGCAACATTGTCGCAGAATGTTAGTGAGTTCTTGCAGATTTTTTAAAAATTTTATTAGGAAAGTAAAAAATTTTGGTTTTCTTTACTGCAGAATTTTTTGAAAGATGTTTTTTTCTTCTTTTTTCCCCTGCAGAATTATGTTCTAAAGATGTCATTTTTGCAAATCGAAGGGGAAAAAAATGCTCCTGATTTCTTTTTGAGCATAAAAAATATTCAACAATAACTAGTTTCGGATAGATTTTCAAATTTATAAAATAAAAAAAGTTCAAACTTTAAAAAAATAGTTCGTTCTAGAAATTATGTTTTTTGTTGCATTTTTTTTTTAAAGAACTCCTTATTTTACATTTTAATAAAATAATGAGTGTAGATTTTGCTACAAATTTAGATTTGTGCAAAAGAATAAACTAATGATTCCAGTAAATTTGTCACTTCTTTTTTAATTCGGTTGAAAGGAAATCGATTCAATATTTTTAATATGATATTACACATGAAAATTTTGAATCAGGCATTTGAGTTTTTACCTTACGCTGACAGTTTGCACCAATTCTATTTTAAAAATACGTAGTATTTCGATCCTTTTTCTGCCATTATTGCTACGAATTTTCACATAGTTTTTTAAAATCCTTTTGTTTTCCATTGTTCAGTTATTACTATTGATATTCTCGTGATTTAAAAAAAAATTTAGGCATTATTATGGCATGCGAATCGGGAATTCAAGAAATCGCTTTTTGGCAAGCTCAATTTGCGACGGTATCATCGTTGATCCATGCGATGTTTCATTCATTTTTTGACAGTTATTGCTAGGAATCTTCACTCTTAAAGAAAGAAATCACTATTTTTTATAATATTTTATTACACGCGAAATTCAAATCTCGCATTTGATTATTTACTCTTAATATTAAGATTTTTTTGCCAGTGTTTCTCAGCTGATATTATTTCAACACGTAAAATTTGTATACCGCATTTAAATAATCACTTTTTGACGCTCTCAATTTACGCCATTAATATTGTAAAGCCATGTGGTGTTTTGATTGTATTTACAATAGCTACTTATATTGATTTTTAGTGGTTTTTGCTGGCAATTAGCATATTTTTACTTAAATCCCATTCCCTATACTAAACCAAATAATTCTCCCCATTAACAATCTTTATTTAATTCAATATATAATTTAATTCGATAAACCTAAGTTCAATATTTATTAAGTTTTACCTTAACCTATGTAGAAAGTATAATAACTTTAAGAATCTATATTATATAAAACGCTAATACGTATGTATCTATAAAGCCGATATTTCTTTTCTCGCGTTGGCAGCAGTTTTCATTTTTAATTGATAGGCTTCGGCGCGCAAGAGCATCATATGGCAAATCTATATTATATAAAACGCTAATACGTTTTAATTGATAGGCTTCAGCGCGCAAGAGCACGTAGTGAGCATCATATGTCTAATCGGGTGAATTCTCACCGAATTATCAAATAAATTCTCTTCATCGAAGCCGATGCTTTACATCCGGCGTTCAGTACTATTTCATATTGTTTTACAACACATGGTTTTAGCCCTCTGGTGGGAAAGACTTTAAAACAAAACTTACAACAGTTACTTTTCTCAACAACTGAAATTTAGAATAGTGTGATTAAGAAAAATATGTGAACTGTTTGCAATTTCAAATTAATATTGAAATG